GAGTTGTTTGGTATGAAACTTAGTCATGTCTTGGTATACAAGTCATGGCAAGCTATTTATAAACTGTTTAATTTAGAAGCTCTGATATAACAGACCGGAACTACGAATCGTACTAGGAATTTACAGGGCAATAAGAGTGAGGTTCCTCATAATATAGTCAGGTATAAATAGTAGTGATTTGAGAACATAACGAGTGTATGTGTTATCAAAGTTGATCTGAAATCATACAAAATACAAGCACGTGATTTATAAAATTAATTATGTTGTAAAGCAACCAAATCAATAAAGAAACAAAACAGGGGAACTGAACTCATGATTTCGTGGGTTTAGAAATATTACAGTTTATAATGTATTTTTTCGACTAAATTGTCCAATTTAATGGGTTTAGAAATATTACAGTTTATAATGTATTTTTTCGACTAAATTGTCGAAGTTAAAGAGAATGTGATACTTAATCAGAGACAGTACGATACTAAAATTTTGAAAAGTTGTAAAACCTGAAATTCATTGCAACGTTACTGGAGAATGAAATGAGAAAGAATAATATAAAATAGTCTGTTTACGATTAAAATGAAAATAGAAAAATCGAAACTTGATCTTCAGATTCACCGCATTGTTTATAGAAAGTTTAAAGTTTAGAAAGTTTTTTTCTAAAATGTGCTTTTTCAAGTTTACAAAGTTTCAAGAAAAGAATATTTCCAATTTTAGAAATGCATCGTTGGTGATAACATACGCACTTAACGCATATGACGTCTTAACGCATATGAATTTTCTTTTGTTTCTAAATATTATTTTTTGCCTATATTAAACATTCTGTGCTCTATGGAGATCTCTTAGAAAATGATTTTAGAACCTTGAATACATCCCATTACGGTTTTAGGCTCATTGTTTTAATTTCAATTTTTTTCAATGACCATTCATTTTAAGTTAATTAACTAACACTTGGGATTCAAGTGAAGGAGATAATGATTGTACTTGGTCATAGTACTTTTGATGTCATTGTGTCATGGAATATGATCTTGTAAAATGGACAATCTGTGATACAAAAGTAAAGCTAAATAATTAGCATAGGTTTATTAATTACGTAAGCAAAACACTGAAAATCATACTTTCTCCGTTAAGTTTGTATTCGCCTATTATTAACCATAACTTGTTAACAGAAAAAACTTCAAAATAATTGCTAATAAAAGGAGCAATAATCAATCTAGGTATCCCCAAGTTGTTAAGTGTACTTAATTATCAGTTACATATTAATAAAATGATATTTTGAGTTTTAAATAATATATTTCTTACTGCTTGTAATATAATTATTATGTTAATTTCAATTTAATGAGTTTAGAAATATTACAGTTTATAATGTATATTTTACTCCTTTCTTCATGCCTTCCTGGTCTAACTGGTCGCAACGTGTATTCTGGAGGTCTGGAGTTCAAATAGCGACAAATACAGGCATTGTATATTTTTCACGTTCCTGCATCGATATAACTTAATAGTTGTACAATTTTATTCACATTCAAATATTTTCTGCTTTCCAATGAGTCTCATTTGGATTGCTTATTTAGTCATTCATTGCTTATTTAGTCAGAAATTACGTATCAATCAAACACTTTTAATAACTTGTACAAATGTGGGTTTCAAAAAGGCGTACTTACCACACGTATCGCATTCCAAAAACTGTAACCTAGTCAAACACCTTAGTTACTATTAAATTTTTATGCCATATATATTAAAATAAGTAGATATCACTAGCAGTTATTGAAAGCAAACAGGTAGTAAGATTATAAACACAAACGGTATAGCAATTCTTAATATTTTAACTATTGTTAAAAGCTGTTAACATAGAAATAAAAGAAAATTCAGTTTCTAAGTCTTAAACAGTTTTTAAATTTTCAATTTATTATGAAATATTTTTTATCATTATAAATTAAGATAAAGGAATTGTTGAAGAAGTCTTTCATGAAGTTTAACCTACAAATATTTCTTCTCATTTATTTTATATGTGAGAAACACAAACATCTTCTGCCTGCTAACTAATTTTCATTAAAAATTTTAAGCTGCGACTAAATTACCATTGGTTTAATATTTCAGTAGGTGAGCTGCAAACAGCACATTATGTAAACAGTTTTTTTTTGTTTTTCAAATAATACTCCTAAATTTTTAAATGCGTAAATTATTTGTAGCATTTGTTTAATATATTATAAGCATATTAGAAACATATTCATAAGAAATACTAAAATGAACAATAAAATCAAATTTTAAAATTTATTATATAATTTATAACAGCAAATTAAGTAAATTGCATTGAAGATTATACATTATGGGAAATAATATAAACGGTAAATTAACTTTTAAACCTTTTATGCATGCTAATTTTTTAAGCATTTGATATCTTATCAGTGACTGGTTTCTGATGCCATAGTCATCGATGAAATAATTTTTGTGTACCATTTTCGGTTTGATAGAAACATCTCTAACGAATTTATTTCTATTTTAATTAATATTATTGTCTTTTTCTTAAAAAAGAAAAAGATTATCTTCATTCCGATCAGAAAATTTTAAAATTACCTCTTAAATGCAATTATTTTGGCATTTGGAAAGAAGTTCCTTATACACCAAGTATTAAGGATTTACTTTCAAAGAACTTGTTTAGAATAAAGTAATCAAAGTCTTAGCATACTATTATTACATGAAAGAAGTTAAGAAGGACGGCATGAAATCAGTGTTTAAGTTTATTATAACCCATTACTCAGGTCTTAAAGCCTCTTTCTCTTTCAAAAATGGACTGAGACGCACAGCATAAGAAAGGAAATAACGCACCTAATTAATTCATTATATGCTGATAACAGTACTTGTTCTGGGATTCTTAATGCTTAAATAACGCTATGAGAATAAAAGCAGCAGAATTCGGGAGGAAAAATGATAGCACAGCAATTAGAATGATACTTGAGCTTCGTCAATTTGGTAAACTTCAAAGCTCGAATATCTTTTGAGCGCAATCGTTTTAATTGTTCTATGCATCATTTAAGGAATTTGCATCCCAACGATTCGTCTTCTGGAGGCTAATGTGACAGCAGATTTTCTAATTTGCTTAACTGGAAAGCCAGAAGTTAAAGGTGAAAGGCTTGAATGACTATTTGAGCAATCACTTTTCTTCCAAGAAGAGGCATTTGAAAACACTTCCATAGCTATATTTAATTGTACATCTTAATATTTAACTAATTCAGAACCCTCAGACGTGTTTTGAAACTAAAGAACAAGAGTGTTAAATCGATTGTAAAATTTAAGAGCTCTATAATTTAAATTTAATGCTAAAATCCTACAAAATATAATAACAAACATAAATTTTGAATTGGAGGCCCAAAATACTTTTACTAGGTTTGCATTAATACTACGTATTTATTTAAACATTGATATGGTCTTATTTTAATAAAATGCATAAAGTAATCACACTAGATTCTAACTTGATTGCATATCACATTGGAATGGTCTCAGATTATAATGCATCCCTAAAATTGGAAGCATTACATTTTCGTTAATAGACGCGGAAACGAACGTATAGATTTCAAAGGTTTCTTCAGTGTCAAAAGAATATTCTATGCTAAATTTGATACGCAAAAATTATCAACGATTAAGAATAGCAAAATTGCTGAGCACTTGTGTCAGGCAAGTTGCCCTAAATGTACTGAATTCCATATTAACTAAATAAAAGCATACTGTTCCAAAGCATTTGCATGGCTTATTCCAGGGATATAAATTTTAATATACGATCGCATGTTGACTACAAGCTTAAGGCTTAATTAATATTTTAAAGGGATATCTATTTCTTCGAGTCATTGTGAGTTAGAAATCAACATATATAATTGCAATAAATGAATGGTTCAGTAAATTACCATTAAATCGTATGGATGCTGAATGTTAGTACACGCTGAATGTTAGTACACACAATCGCTTTTGAGTGCAATTATTTTCGTTCTCAACATTCATATTTTCATATTATGGTAAGCTGACTTATTAAACTGTCAATAAATACCTAAATTAAGCGTGTAACGAAAATTGAAGCCAAAGTGCCTACTAAATATGTGACATATTCGTACTGTTTTGCTGCTCTGAGCTTTAAAAATTCTAGCTTATTAAAAGGATGACACCTTCTGAATGTGTCCCGCGAAGAATTAGTAAACCGTTTACATCAAGAGATAAACAATTTAGTTGTAAGCTATTACTTTCATTGTATCGTTTTGATTTTGTCTCGTAAGGGATAAATTCCAATTTTATTTACAATGAGAAAACGTAAGTTTTCTATGATATTGTTTATTAGTTACCAAATTTTGGGTTTATAGAACATGCAGCAAAATTTGTTTCTTGTTTCATAAGTTAATAAATATTTCCCCTTCAGGATATCCCTTCTGATTTAAAGCAGAGATCTACAGGAACACTTTTCTAGTACTAGTGGGGAATAATTTTAATTCTGTTAGAAAAATTAATACTTTTAACTTATCAATGACGTAGGCAAGAGGAAAGATTACGTATTTACGAAGATTTACGAATTATTTCATTCATTTCGTATTATTGAATTTCACTTAATCATTTGTAATAATAATATGACTAAACATTTATGTAACAAGTAAATCTCTGACTTACAAATCTTTGCATCGAAAATCCATATATGCACCAAGTCGTACTTATCGACGTAACTATTTAACGACAAGCTGCTTTACATTTTTGATACTGGTGGTGTAAAAGGTAAAATTTGAAGTTTGAAAATATTTATAGATTTTAACCGGTACTTATTTTCTTACAATTCCTCGCATACCTGAAGTAGGTTTATTTGTTGGAGGTATATTTATTACAGTTAGAAATGATACCTTAGTTTCTTCAAAAAATATGTATATGCTATATTAAAGGATTCACTGCTGTAAATTAGCACTTACAACAGGACCAATATATGAATTTTTTAAATTTGTTAAAATTTCAAGTTTAATCAAACATTGAAATTTACTTACAACTAGCCATAACAATAGAACATGTTTGCTTGTCCAAAGGGTAAAACTTTAAGTCCATAGGACAGGACAGAACTAACGAGATTCTGAAAAGAAAAAAAAAACAGAATTAGGTATTTTTTCTATTGCCATAATTAGTAACAAGATATACTGCTTTAACCATTAATTATGATTTATTAATTGTCTTTTAAGCACTCAAAGATTTAAATTAATACATTTAATATGATAGACTAGTAAATGACTGAAAATAAATCTCCTCGTTCATTTATGGCGTATATTTATGATGCAACTGTCTAATACCTATACACACAGGCAGATAGACAAAGATACGTATATATATATATATATATTCCGTAATGAACACCTCTAAATATGGTGAGGATTAATTTCACAACGATATATTAATTTGGAACGCGCGGAGGTAGTTTATAATTATATGCAATGCACTACTCGGAAATATAAGTAACTAATAATCATTCTAGGCTTCTCGTTCAGCGAATATTAGTAATCATTATATTTAGGCTAATTTATTGTATCCTATAACAGCTCGTCGGCATTTAAAATGTGAATATTTGGTGTTACATGCATCATGAATGGACTCGTCAGCAGCGGCTGGTTAAATCAGCAGTCTACCTAAAAGCGATCGCTTCAATAAAGCACATGGGCTACTTATGTAACGTACTGCGAAAATTTCAGGAACATAGTTTAAACCTTAATTATGGCTTCTATTTATTTCTAACTAATGTTTTAGTTTGTAAATGTTTTCAATCCACAACGAACTGTTGTCTTTTTCTTTTAAAAGAATAAATATGATATTCTAAATTGTATATTGAACCATACCACTCCTATGCCAGACGTTGCATTTACTGCCACATTCATAACCACAATAAATATTTGTGTTTTAGGTAGCTGTATATAATATCCTAACTTATCTCTTGTTCAAACATGGGTATGAGAATTTCAGATGCAAATTGTTCTACATTTCTTGATATAATTTAATTTTCATACTGATCTTCCTTATTCTGCTTTTCTTATAATTTAAATCTCTTTTGATCAGTGTTTGAGAAGTTCTATTTAGAATCTAGACTTAGTGTATGTTACCAAAAAGTCCATACTCTACAATATTTGGTCCAAGTATGTTACCAAATATTGTAGAGTCTCAAGCCAAAAAACGATTTTGCTTTGCTCCGTCAATTAACATTAATTTTGAGTTTTACATTCATATTTAGTTCCTTTTATGTCAGGTCATTTAGGCAAGACTCTGTTTTATATAGATTGCAGTGCTGATACATATTTAAATATTACCATTTAGATTAAAAAAAAAAAGAAAATAATTTAGCTCGCATTATAAAATTTCCGTTATAAGCAAAATAATAATATTTTAAACACTAGCATTACAAGCATATTAATGTTAATGCTTATATGTGACCATAATTTCGCATATATTTGTTTTTATTTACTTGCTTTGTGCAATTGCGCATTCCCTAATTTAATTTCTTTTTTTCCCCTAGTTATATAGTTACGTTGTGCAATTATTAATTTCTTTTCGTGAAAACATGTAACTGACATGGAATTAACACGCTTTGCATTTGAGTGGCTTTATAATTTTATAGTATTTTAAACTAGAAAATGGAATAATGAAATGTCTTAAATAGAACAGAAAATATGAGCTACTGGAGTTTAACTGGCTTTGACTACGTTAGAGTTCATTGACGATCTTCTGTATTTTTGTGTAATATCATGCTAATACGAGTATAATTCAGTTATGATAAGCCTACTAAATTCAACCAGTATTATAACTCAAAACATTTCTAGGCTCAAGCAATAAATTCTTATGAACGACTACCTTTATTTAGTCATTATAATAATTCTTAATATAGAAAAGGTTCTAAATTTAATCTGTTTATACTTGGGATTAACCCACAAATTTTTCCTTGCGTAACCACCAGCAAAGATCAAAATGAATGAAATGCAAAAATGAAGAAAATTAAAAGTGAGCTTCTTCCTTTCTGCATTCAAAGCACCAGAAAGAATTAGAAAAAGTCAATTACACCTCAAAAGAGTAAAACTGCCATACACACTTTGAATCTGACAGCAGAAGGGAAGTTGATTTTACAGCAAAATAGAATACGTAATCCTAAATTTAAAATTGCTCGTAAATTTAACATTAAAAAAAGCTAAAAGAATAAGTGGATTAGACTAGATTATTCAACACTGAATTTTATTTAAAACTTTTAGCAAATAGCTGCTAAGATCGAAATAATGAAGTGAAGATTCACATAAAAGAAACACGTTTATTTCAAGTCCCATTGAAAAGAATGAGAACTAAAAATATCTCGATTTTATACTCAATAGTTAAACCCTAACAAATAGAAGAAATTAATTTGCACAATGGAAATGAAAATTTAATAAATATGTAGAGTCATTAGGTAACTTGGAAGCAGGGACAATGAAAAATAAGCAACCGCCTTCGCCGGGAATCGAATCGCGGACATCTGGAATACGCTTCCAGCGTGCAGACCACCACACCACGAAGGTATGCCAAGTAAGGCGGGAGAAAAACCTTGTAAAGGTACTCCGGTTTGGTCATAATAAGAATATACAATTATTATAATCTTATAATAGCTTCGAAAAAACTGTTCTTGTTGGTCAAGAGAACTGAAAATTTTATTATTTTCGATCCCCATTTTTAAAGTTCGTTAAAAAAGAACTAAAACGCCTGAAAATATAAAGCGAAGTCTAAGGTATACAAAAGGGCGAGGTGAAGATGTTTAAAAAAGTAAACAAAGAAATTAAAAGAAAAGAAAATTTTTCAATCTGATTTCAGACATTTAACATAAAGTCAATACAATATGGCATTAATAATAATGATATGAAAACTCTATTTTTAAAAGGTCAGTTACAAGATTATGAGAAAAGAATGATATGGCCAGGAAATACTATCAGCTATACAATTATAATTTATTACAAATTTCCAAGCATCTAATGATATGAAGTACCTTTAGCATTACCCTCCCTCCCGTCAACTTTAAGAAGACTCGCAGGTGCCTGAAGTTCAGGCGGATTCTTATGTATAATGAGGTAAAGGCTTGCCTGAAGAATTAAGCATAAAAATCAAATAAGAAATAACCGGATCCCTAATATTATAATCTAAGAGATGAAGTCAGATGCGATGTATTAAAATTTCAACTAAAATGGCTAGTGCGTTTGCTGTAGAATGAAGACTAAGGGATTATAAAAAATTCTCTAGTAATTTTTTGAGGTTTTGGTCCAGTAGACTGTCTTCCTGTTACCGGATGCCTGGTCGGGGAATTATTTCACGTCTGCGCTCAGACATCTGGTGACAATTTCATCAACAATTTCTGACGGTTAATTCAACAAAAGAAATTGAAACTCGGCTTTTACGGTATTGCGCCCAGTAAACGATAATCATGAAATGGTCGTGTCGTTTTTTGAAGAGTTATGAGGTAATAAAAACATTTAGCCCGAAATACCATTTAGCCCTTGGGAAAGAAAGGCACGTCAAATAAAACTGAGTGTAATAAAACTGAACGTTGACTGACGCAGATTTGATTTTAGAGGTAGCGCTTTCAACGATTCAAACAAGATCGTATTCTTCAATTGTAACTGAAGATGAACACCTGAAGAAGCTGATCGCATTTGAATCGTTGCGTTTGATCGTATTTCTACTATTCCTTTCAGAGCGGAACAAAAAATGAAACATTTTTTAAGCTATTCCTGTAACTGTAAAATTCAGTCTCCAAGCCATCCCAGCTTCTAATGAAAATCAATTATTAACGCCTAAAAATTGAGCCATTGTCAAGCATAAAATGAATAAAATATATTTTAAATTAAGAATTTTATTACTTTTTAACTCACATGTTTTCATCGGTGAATCTCAATCGTCTCTCTCACCTTTATTTAGCGTAATTAAATAATTGTAAATTATTTAATTATTATAAGTAAGTAAGTTACACCTAAAGTAAATTAAAACTTGTTAGAACTACTAAATTATTACACTTCAATATAAATATAGGCATCATGAGAATTTCAGCACAGGTAACAAAAACAGGAAATATTATGGATTATAAAAAATTTTGTTAACGCTATAGATTTAAATTTAAAGTTTAAGTTTATAGGATAACACCCCTAAAATGTTTATTAAATGAATTATCAGGAAGAACTTTCTTCTTTAGTGAATTTTGTTTTACGAAAAGTTGGAGGCATTATGTGTCGTCTGTTCAAAAACAATGTTTCCAAAGGAAAAACAGTCAAAATTGGCATTCCTTTCCTTGTATCCTTACTGAAATACATAAAATGTTAAACATTTCTTAGATAGTAGTGAGGATAAAAAAATGTAGTTCATGTTCTGGTTGGCATCTTGTGTGCATGAAACTGCAACCCTAGCACTCACACGCACTTCCAAGTCAACACTTTCTGCCCATCATTTCATTTTAGGGATCCCCCAAAAGATTCTCCCTTCATCCCATTTTCGGACATCTCTGCTGCAGGCCCCACCGGTTAGTAGGGTTTACTTTGGGCGGTTTCTCCCGGGCGGTTTCTCCCACGACCACTCCAGTTATGAATTGTTTTAAAGGCAAACATTAGAACAGAACTCCTGCCCTTCATGAGACAATTTGCGCTGTACACCACCCGTAAACCGTCAAGGTCAAGTTGCACCCTCGCCACCAAGAAGTTCCCACACGGCATTATCTATAACTTGCAAACATGCAGTGGGACTTAGTAAAAATCTTAGCCGCTGAAAACGCAAAATGATTAAACTAAATGTCTTATCTTGAGGTTCTTATAATAGTTGAAAGTGTGTGATACCAAACCGCTCTACAGCTCTTCATACTGCCAATTCTTTGACGCCATTCCCTTACCAGCCTTGTACGCTGCTCAGGACCCAATTGACACTGTGACCCCCTCTCCAACGCCCCCTCGAACAGGCCCTTCCCCTCCCCCGCCTGCCCTCTGTTTTCCCACCGCTTCTCCGCCTTTTC